TAAATATATTTTTACTAAATATTTTAAATATAAATAAGTAGAATATAAAAAGATAGTTTAAATTAATTTTATTACATATTATTAATTTTATTTCACTTAACATTTACAGCATTGGTTATTTTATTTATTTATAAATTTTATTAAAAATTTAATATTAATTATATTTTTAAATTATTTAAGTTCACAAAATATATTTTTTATAAACCTTCTCAATTATATACATAGAACGTTTAAAGTTAATTTAAATTTTTTGATTTTATTACTTTTATCTAATATATTTCGTTCATCGATCCCCTAATATATTTATTTCGATATCAACACTATTAGAGTAGCATTAATTTGTTAGGATCCTGATTGTAACTATCACGGTTTGTTACCTTGTATATTAAAATAGATTAGCTTGATTTATGCTTTCTGTTCCTTAGTTTTAGCTGATTTCCTGATGTAAATAGATTAGCTTGATTTATGCTTTCTGTTCCTTAAGTTTAGCTGATTTCCTGATGTAAATAGATTAGCTTGATTTATGCTTTCTGTTCCTTAAGTTTAGCTGATTTCCTGATGTAACCAATTGTAAATCTTGGTCTATATAATAGACCCAATTTAATATATCATCAGGCTGCGAATGACAGCAACTTCTGTTATGGTATCAAGAGCTTGACGATCAACAAGCCTTCATTTTTTTTTTTCATCATGACTTCCGCACCTAAAACCTTCAAGGTTTCTGATTTTACACCAGAAGTTCTACAACATCTCATGTCCTTGGCTGTCTCTTCTGCCCCTCCAGTTGATAAACTTACGGGTAAGATTTTACACCCATCTTGGATCATCGACAGTGGTGCATCCCAACACATGACGGGCACACTCTCCTATCTATCCAATGTGCATTCTATTTCTCCTTGTTCTGTGGGACTGCCGAATGGAGTTCATGATATTGCTACGCAATGTGGCAGCATTACTTTGGGCTCTTCTCTTCATCTCTCCAATGTTCTTTATGTCCCTTCGTTGGCTTGTAATTTGATTTCTGTATCTCAGCTTCTGCGCCAGTCTTGCTTGGCATTGTTTGTTAATTCTGTTTGTTTGATACAGGACCTAAAGCAGAAGAGGACGATTGGAACGGGTGTTGAACGAGAAGGGGTGTATATATTGTGTGCATCATCAGCTTCTGCTCATGTTGCCAGTACGTCAGATTCTGCAGCACTATGGCATCGTCGTCTAGGACATCCATCTTCCCGTTATTTATCTTTGTTACCTTTTATTTCCAATGCAAATAATTTGGCTCCTTGTGACGTTTGTTGTAAAGCCAAACAACCACGAAGTCCTTTTCCTATTAATAATAAACGTTGTTTACATCCTTTTGATTTACTTCACTGTGATATATGGGGGCCATATCATATGGCATCTACAACTGGTGCCCGCTATTTTTTAACTGTAGTCGATGATTTTAGTAGACATGTTTGGATTTTTTTGATGCGCAATAAAACTGAAACTTCCACATGTTTACTTCGGTTTCTCCACTTGGTTCGCACCCAATATGATGCATCTGTTAAGCGAATTCAGAGTGATAATGGGACTGAATTTTTGTCATCTGTAGTCCAAGAGGCTCTCTCATCCTACGGTATTCATCATCAATTATCATGCACTTACACCCCACAGCAAAATGGACGCGTTGAACGTCGTCATCGTCACATCCTCAACGTGGCTCGTGCTTTGCGTTTTGATGGTCACTTACCTATATCTCTTTGGGGAGAATGCATCTTGACCGCTGCTCACCTCATCAACAGGACACCGACTCCACTCCTTGGTGGTCAGTGTCCCTATGAAGTTTTGCATGGCACTCCACCAAAGTATGATCACTTACGGGTCTTTGGGAGTTTATGTTACACTACTGTTTTACCCAAACCACATGACAAGTTCGCTCCTCGCTCCCGTAAGTGTGTGTTTGTTGGCTACCCTTTCAACAAAAAAGGATGGAAGGTCATGGATATCTCCACTCATGAAATATTTGTTTCTCGTGATGTTTTATTTCATGAAACTATTTTTCCATTGGCTGCAACTTCATCTGCACCTTCTGTCCATGTACCGTCACCACAAGCTGTCTTCACCGATTATGATGTGGCACCTGTTACTGCTATTGATACTCCCACAGCGGAGCTTGATGACAGGGGGAGTTCGTCCTCCCCAGTTCCGGGTTCTATTACTTCATCCACGGATGTCCCTGGTTCACCGGTTCCGTTGACAGAACCCAACACTGCATCTGTGGCAGATATTCGTGAACAGCGTGCCAGACGTCCCCCATCTCATTTAAAGGATTATGTATGCAACACAATGACTACACCCTTTCCTCGTCTCTCCACTTCTCCAATCGACTCAGGTATTCAATATTCCATTGATCATTATGTTTCTAATGCATTATTTTCTTCGCACCATCAGATTTTTCTTGCCGCCGTGGATAGTAACCTGGAACCCAAATCATTTAAAGAGGCTATGCAATATCCTCATTGGCAGAAAGCCATGCAAGCCGAAATTGATGCATTGGAAGCCAATCATACTTGGCAAATTCAACCTCTCCCTTCTGGTAAGAAAGCTATTCCATGTAAGTGGGTGTACCGCATCAAGTACAATTCTGATGGAACCATTGAACGCTATAAAGCGCGTCTGGTTATTGCTGGGAACAATCAGATCGAAGGAGAAGATTACACTGAGACTTTTGCACCGGTGGCTAAAATGACAAGTGTGCGTACATTTTTATCTGTAGCTGTAGCTCGAAAATGGAGCATTTTTCAGCTGGATGTTCAAAATGCCTTTCTCCATGGCGATTTGGATGAAGAAGTCTTTATGCGTTTTCCTCCCGGTTTCTCCCAAACCAAGTCTGGTCACGCCTGTAAGCTTCGACGTTCACTTTATGGTCTCAAGCAATCCCCACGAAATTGGTTTGCTAAGCTTCGTAGTTCTCTCCTCAGTTTCGGCTTTGTTCAGTCTCGTGCTGATTATACGTTGTTCACTTACTCGACTGGTTCCCATTATGTTGCTATACTTGTCTATGTAGATGATATTTTGTTGGCAGGTAGTGATCCTTCTCTCTGTGACCGTGTCAAAGCTCATTTACAAACCTGGTTTAAAATCAAAGATCTTGGTCCCCTCAAGTATTTTCTTGGCATTGAATTTGCTCGAAGCAAGACCGGTTTGTTTCTTACTCAACGCAAATTTGCTTTGGATATTCTTAAGGAATGTGGACTTCAAAGTTGTAAACCGGTTGCTTATCCTATGGATCCCAATCACAAGCTTGCTCTTGCTGAAGGACCTCCGTTTGATGATCCTAAACGTTATAGACGTATTGTTGGCCGTCTTGTATATCTCACGATTACACGACCAGAACTTAGTTATGCAGTTCACACACTTTCTCAGTTTTTGCAGCATCCTATGCAGATACATTACGATGCGGCTATTCGTGTTCTTCGGTACATTAAGTCCAATCCTGGCCAAGGACTCCTTCTTCGATCTGACAGTGATCTTCTTCTTCGTGCCTATTGTGATTCGGATTGGGCTAGTTGTCCCTTGACTCGAAAATCAGTCACTGGTTATTTTGTTACTCTTGGACATTCTCCTATTTCTTGGAAAACCAAGAAGCAAAACACAATATCCCGCTCCTCTGCTGAAGCTGAATACCGTGCCATGGCAGCTGCGACTTCTGAGCTTATTTGGTTAAAGTCTTTTCTCAGCTCTCTTGATATTCCTCATGCAGCCCCTATGCAACTGTTTTGTGACAGTCAGTCTGCTATTCATATTGCTTCTAATCCAGTGTTCCATGAGCGTACCAAGCATATCGAGTTAGATTGCCATTTTGTTCGGGACTATCTTCTCAGCAAGACTATTTCTACTCAACATATCCCCACTAGTTCTCAACCCGCAGATATTATGACCAAAGCACTTGGATCCAAACAATTCGATTTTTTGACTTCCAAGTTGGGCATCTCCTCCCTCCATGCTCCACCTTGAGGGGGAGTATTAGAGTAGCATTAATTTGTTAGGATCCTGATTGTAACTATCACGGTTTGTTACCTTGTATATTAAAATAGATTAGCTTGATTTATGCTTTCTGTTCCTTAGTTTTAGCTGATTTCCTGATGTAAATAGATTAGCTTGATTTATGCTTTCTGTTCCTTAAGTTTAGCTGATTTCCTGATGTAAATAGATTAGCTTGATTTATGCTTTCTGTTCCTTAAGTTTAGCTGATTTCCTGATGTAACCAATTGTAAATCTTGGTCTATATAATAGACCCAATTTAATATATCATCAGGCTGCGAATGACAGCAACTTCTGTTAAACACCTTCACCCTGGGCAATTAATAATATTATTAATTGTTTCTCATAACAATTTCATAATAATATTCCAACATAAATATGCTACTCCTTACCATATATTTAATTATATTATTATTTGCTTCTCAAGGCAATTTTAGTAATATATATACATAGATAGAAATAGATTCGCAAATGACCTGTTGGAGGTTGGAATTTATAATGTTATCTGCATTATATTGGATTAATATTTATCATGTTATAAGAAATAATTTTATCTTCTACATACACATAAAAGTGTGTGGGGCTATATGAGGAGAAGAGAAAAAAAAAATATGAGTCACATATATTTTTATGTGTATGTATCAGATAAAACTTATCTCCTACAATATGATAAACATTATTATAATATTATATAACCCTAAGAAAAAGTAAGTAGTGGTTCCTTGGTTCCGTTTAACTTAAATGGTTAGAAAAGTTGATGTTAAAAAAAAAAATTGGTTAGAAAAGTTATTGTGAAGAAGGAAAAAAAACTCTAGTATATGTTTACAAAAAAAAAAAAAAAAAAAAAAACTCTAGTATATGAATATTAAATAACTATTTTGGTGTATGCTATAAATCAAAACAGGACAGCAACAACATACATCTGTTATATATATATATATATATATATATACAATTAAAAAAATCACACTCGAATGAAACTTACTACAATGGGGTACAAAACAAAGCATTCAAGGTAAAAATTGTACACTTGATCACCTATTTTATTCAAATAGAAGTGAAAAAAACATTATTATTTTTTTGGGGACAATAGTACAAAGATCCAGAAAACCAAGCCAAGGAAGGAACAAACAAGAGAACCACCAGAGCATTGCACAATAATCAATCTACTCTTCCCCAAGGAAGAAAATAGTGGGCTTCTTTGGTTCAGTGATCTCCACAGTCCCTTCCAACATCTTAGCAACCTTCCCCATTGTAGGCCTCAACTCAGGTCTATCCTGAAGGCACCACATTGCTGTCTTCACCATTCTATTAACCAATTCAAAATGGGCCCTTGAATCATAAACATCCTTAATCTGAATATCCAGAATATCTTCCACTCTCATATCCTTGAACATCTTATCAAAAGCCCATCTTGGGAAATACCACTCCTCACTATGGACCACAGACCCTTGAATCTCAAAGTTCCTGACCCCACTCACAAGCTCCAACAGCACCATGCCAAAGCTATACACATCAGCTTTGGAGGTGATTGGATCTGCAGTGATCCATTCTGGAGCCATATAACCAGGAGTACCCCTTTTCCTAGACATGGTTACCATATCCTCCTTTTTCCTTAGTTTGGCCAACCCAAAATCTGATATCTTGGGACAAAAATCATCACCTAAGAGTATGTTCTCAGGCTTAATGTCACAGTGCAAAACCCATTCCAAACACTCCTCATGCAAGTATGCAATAGCTCTAGCCACACCAAGAGCAATCCTGTACCTCATGTTCCAATCCAGAACAGGTTTATCTTGTCTGTTATTGTTGTTGTTGTTTGGGTCAAATTCACCACCCTTGAGAGACTTTTTGACTTGGAACAAGTGCTTGTCCAATGAACCACCAGGGATATGCTCATAGACAAGTATCCTTTGACCTTTCTCAGCACAGAAACCCCACAAGCGAACCAAGTTGAGGTGGTGCATCCTTGCAATGATAGTGACCTCTGCCCAAAACTCAGCATCACCGCCGGCGACATTCTTCAGGCACTTCACGGCGACGACACGGTGGTCCGGCAGCTCCCCTTTGTAAACATCTCCAAAGCCACCTCTCCCTATGAGGTTGGAGAAGTCATTTGTGGCAGCTTTGAGTTCTGAGTATGTGAACCTTTTGGGGCCACCAGCAGGTAAGAGCTCAAGGCCTAGTGTTGTGGCCATGTCCCTATACTTTATGTACCTCTTGAGGAATGACCAAAAGAAAGCCACCCCAGATATGAATTCTAAAGCAAAAAGGGTGCAAATTATGGCAATGTTTCTTGTGGTTGTGTTTGAGTCCTTTGGTGGTAGTGGCAGGCTTATTTTGACAGGACATGCTGTTTGCATCACCTCAGTCATGCCAATGAAATTTGTGGCTTCTGATTCAGATTTGTCAACTTTAAGAAACAAAGCAATTTCAGGGCCTGGTGACCAATAACCATATTGAAGTTCTGTTCCTAATAGCCAAACACAATAGCCTGTTCCATCATATTTGAAGCCAAACCCAAGACACCTTGTGTCTCTTATGCATCCTGATTCACAGATTGTGAAGTTGTTAGCAACGATTTGATTCATCTGGCTGTTGCTGGTGTAGTTTATGTAATCTAGCCTGAGAAATTTGGTGTTACTTGAAAGTGGGATTTTCCTTGTGCAACCATTTTCAGGGCCACCTTGATTTGCCTTGAAACCTGATGGACAAACACAGTAAGTAGAAGTGTAATTCAAATTCTCTTTTGGCATGCATATAGCATTAGATCCACATTTTCCTTTGATTGTGCACACCTCCCATACTGCTTTCCATACCTCAACCCACTTGTTTTGTTGCTCGGGGTAGAAGCTATAGATTTTGAGATTCCCATCCTCATCAAGAACCATTTTTCTCAACCTGGGGTCACCATAATCTGAGGTAAGAAAAAAGCCACCTACCATGGTCATTTTCCCAGCATCATCCATGCTCACCAAGGGACTTGGGGTATTGTAGTATTGATCAGATGTGGAATTGAGAACCAAAAACTGAGACTTTATGAACTTGTATTTCCCATTAATGGTATAAAGCTCAATCCCACTGAAGTTTTGGTTAGGCAAGATGGTGTTGGTTGGATTCTTGAAGCTGCTCCAATCCCCAAAGACCAAGTTTCCATCGTTGTCAAGAACAAGTTGTGTGGAATTGGAAGAAGAAGAAGCATTATTAGCAAAGGGTGAATCATTGAGAAGAAGCTCACCTTTTGTGGTGATTACAAGGGAGCCAGAGTTGTTGACTTGGGTTGTGGCGTTCCAGATAACAGGGTTTGCACTTTGAGGGACTTTGGAGAACCAAACAGAGAAAGTGAAGAGGTTTTGAGAATTGGGTATGGGAAAGAAACCTGCAGTGAAGTTTGAGTTTGGGGAAAGAAGGACTTTGTTCTGTGTTGGAAGCCATGGAGAGAATGAGATGTTGAAGGATGTGAGTTGTTGTTGTTGTTGTTGACGTTGTTGTTGAGCAATTGAGGGCTGAAGGTTGAAGAGGAACAACAAGGTGAAGAAGGGGAAGGTGATGCAGAGAACCATGGTTTCAAAGTTTGCAACTTTGCAACTTTGCTGTTCTAAGAGGAAATATCTGTTTGGTTTGGTTTTATTAATTAGAGGCGGCTTCGTGAAGGGTTGACTCTACATTAAAATTTGACTAATTTTAGGTGCTATTATTGCATTGCATCGTTTATTTTCTTTATTGTTAAAATAAAAATACAGAAGCTTACCAAAAATAAAATAAAATACAGAAACTATCATCAAAATAAGTGTAAATGCATTTTCAGATAAGTCCGTATATAATATATAAAAGGTTATACTTGCCATTATTTTAGGTTTATTATTCTTAAGGAAGTTATATTTATTATTATTTTTTTCTTAGTATCTCTTACTATCGAATTTTAACTGCTAATTTCTGTCCATCTAACTGTTATAATTTATTAAAAATTAATAATTAATTATAAATATGACCCAATAAATTATAACCGTTAGATTGACGAAAATTAACAGTTAAGATTTAGTAGTAAGAGGTAATAAAAAAATATAGTAACTATAATCTCCTTCGTTATTCTTATTATCTAATTAGTTACCATAAGATCAATTCAAAATCAACTATTGTAAGCTAAAAACATTTTTGAATTAATGTTTGAATTCATTTTGAATTGATTCAACCATAATTAATCATGTAATAAATTTAAAATAATATTAAGTATAACCGTCTTAATATATAGGGTTTGTTTTTTCTGATGTTATTTTAGATAACTTTATCTAATGTTCATCAAAACGACGTCGTTTTGGTAAGGAAATCATGGTATTTTTGTAATTTTAATTTATTTCAGGGTTATAATAGTCTTTATCACTCTAATTTTTAATTTTTTAACCCCAAAACAACGTCGTTGCGATGAATATTAGATAAAGTTATCTAAAGTAACATCGGAAACTTTTTTCTCTAATATATATTATAAAAAATGGAAAATATTCTGCTTAATATGTTATTATCACCCAATAGTCAGTAAAAGTTCTTAGAATTATGTGACCATTATTATTGTGGACATGAAAGTTAATTTCACGTTTAAAAGAATAGGAATTAGCTTCACGTTATTGGTTGTTGGACTTTAGAAATGGTTTGGGTCTTGTTGGGATAAAAGAAATTGATGTTTATGGTCAAGAAAAAAGGGGTTGGAAAGTTCTATTTCACCAGATTCGTGTTATTTGGTCTTCCCATATTCACAGAAACCATAAGACTAAGAAAACCAAAACTCAAGGGTAGTGGAATATTAAATAATTAGACCCACTAGGTTTTTTTTATAGAACGTGACTTCAACAAGACAATGACGGATAATTATTATTTTTTTCTAACTAAAACATTCTTATCAATTTTTTTTACTATTAAATTAAAGCTTTGATTAAATTTTTTTTACAACAAGACAATGACGGAATATTAAAAGATTTATGAATTTTAAATTAAAGCTTTGATTAAAAACTTATTTATAAATACAAAAAAACGTATCTTTCAATTCATTAAAAAAAACATTATCATTCGAAATAAAGGCCATATCTGTTTAATATATGTTACTCCATTTTAATTACAAATATGTATTTTTTTAACAAAATTCTTCATTTTTCAGTTCGAAATTATTTTTTAATAAAAAGGGATTTAAGACGATCACGAACTCATGTTCAAATTTTATTTTAATTTTTTAAGCTGAGAACGAAATAATATCTTCTATACAAAATTAATCTAGAGATTTATCTTAACTCACTTTATATCACTATTTTAGTATTTAATTTAAAAAGACGCATATAAATAAGTACTTTAAACATTTATTTATTTTCATCAAGTCTATGTAATATAATTTTTCAAAGTGCGAAATAAGAAGCAATCACTTCAATTTTCTTCAAATATCTAAAAATATTTATGTAGTTACTGCAGATAAGTTATCTATTTACTCCCAAACGACGTCGTTTTAGGATTGAAAAATTAAAAAATTATAATTAGAAAGACTGTAATAACCCTGAAATAAATTAAATTTATAAAAGCACCATGATTTCTTTCCCAAAATGATGTCGTATTGGACTTACTGCAAATAATTTATCTACAATAATTACAGAAAAGCGAACCCTTATTTAAATAACTAAATAATAAACGTTTGTATATATAAAAAGACGTATATAAATAAGTACTTTATTTATTTATTTATCCTTTATTTATAATTATTGTTTGGTATAGTTTTGTCTTCACAATAAAAGAAATGATATTTTGACCAAAATAAAATTATGGATTATTTAGTTTTATTTTTGGGTAAACGTAATGGTGTTATCTAACTCTCATTTTGTGAATACTTAATTTTGTACGCATCATTACAAAATTAAATTAAGAAATCATAATTTTTTTTATTATTATGAAAAACTTTCATTAAAAACTATCAATAAAAATGTCAAAAGAGGCAACGGTCCAAATCATTGAATTGTTTATTATTATTATTATTATTTGCTGTAGTTTTGTCTTCAGAGTGTAAGAAATGCTATTTTAAAAATAAAAAAAAGCCTATGGTATTATTTAATTTCACTCGTATTCTGAACAGTCAATTTTGTTCGAATCATTAAAAAATTTAATTTTCTAATACTATGAAGGTCTTCCGTAGAAAAATTGATGGTTTAAGTAATGAACGTAATTTTTCTATGTTGGTCAAGCTTGATTATGAACCTCAACGCGCTCATTTTTTATTGGCTAGTGAGAATCAATAGTGTTGCTATTTGGTGAGGCTGCGGTTATTTATCTCCCCTCCTATGATCCTATCTATCATTCCATTAATAAAACTTTGAGAATGGTGGTGAAAATATATGCGACTTTCCTTCTTCTATAGCTTTCGGAAGGGATAAACCGGTTTAAGAACTAAAACAATCAAATTAAAGAAAAGTGTTTGTACTTTTAAACGACATAATTTGTGTCATTTTATATTTTTTGTATTTTTTGTTCATTTTCTCTCCTCCTTTATCTATCTCTTTCTCTTACTTAAAATGACACAATTTTACATCTTTTAAAATGATACACATTTTTCTCATTTATATATATAATATAATATTTTAATAATATTTATAGGCTATTGGAGCTAAAAATTAGCTCCTTTTTCAAATTAATTTTTTTTGAAAAAAATCCTATCCGCCACCCAATTAACCCTTGTTTTTCTCTCTAATTTTTTTTCCCTTTATATAAAAGTGTGGTAGATTTATTGTTTCTTTTGCTTAAGAAACTGGTTTCTCCTAGTCCTTGCATCATAAATTAATAATAACTGGGTTGTACCTTTTTTTTTTATAATCTGTAAGGCTAAAGACAGCCCCACAGAAACTAAATGAAATTAACTTTGCGAAAAGAACAAACATTTGAAAAGTCTGCTAGATAAGCAACCAAATACCAGGAGGGGGAGAATGGAAAACATAGATTATTTTCCATTGGATGATCCGGTGGGAATTTAGATAATCAATCTGCGCAGCCGTTGCTCTCTATGTAAGTATGAGAAAGATGAACCTCTCAATCTTTCGCTAACCATGCTCAAATGCGAGTCACTAATCGCGGCTCTCGAGCTGCTCCTCCATCTTTGGTGAGCAAAGTGATAACAGATTTTAAATCACTTTCTAAAATAATATTCCTCCAACCTCCTTCTCAAGCCAGTTCTAAACCTTTAAGAACGCCCCAAAGTTCAGCTGTAACATTGACCAATATGGTATGCAAATCCATGAAGCCAATTACCTGATGCATCCCTAAGCACTCCACCACAAGCAGCTCCACCATATGGTCTCTTAGATGCCTCATCCGTGTTGATTTTTATCCAACCCACGTCTGGAGGATTCCAACCAACCGAAATGAATGTAAGAGCCCTTGTAGTCTTGAAGCCTTGTTTCATTTTCCAGCAATCAGAGAATTTCCAAACCTTAAGCTTAATAGGTGACACAAGGTAAGTGATGTAACACCCCGTTCTAGAACCGGTTTGTTAACATCGCATTATGATATTAAGCGCAGTTACAATCACATGGGTTCAATTAAAATCCGGATAAATTTTTCATTTTAAAACATGCCGAATTTGTAATACCCAATTTCGTGATCATAACTGTATTACCTTGCGGAATCAGATAAATTAAGCTTAACATCATGTTCTTATTCCATTTTTAAACCATTAATTTACTTCCTATTTATTTCACAACTTCTACTATATTGTAGATCTCTTCATTAGCTACCCGTGGCTTCAAATCGCGCTCAAATCGGAGCACTGTAGCCCAAGTTATGACAATTTGAAGCAACACAAGAGGGTGTTGATCACAGGCCCCGCGCGCTTCAGCGCGTTATCGGGCGCTCAAGCCTCCATCTGGGCGCTTAAGCGCGCGGAGGCAGGAAGCATCAGGTTTTTCAGTGTAAATGGGCGCTTAAGCGCGCACCAGGGCGCTCAAGCGCGCTATCCTGGGCGCTTAAGCCCCCACTTGGGACATTTTAGCGCACAGAGGCAGAAGCATCTCCTCCTTCAGCGGCTAAGGGCGCTCAAGTGCGAACCAGGGCGCTCAAGCGCGCAACCCTGGGCGCTTCAGCCCCCACACAGGGCGCTCCAGCGCGAGGAGGCCGAATGCATTGGCACTCACAGGGGCAGCAGGGCGCTTGAGCGCGCTTAAGCGCGCTGCCAGGGAATTCCAATCCCACATTTTCAAGTCCAAGTTTAGGGGAAGATGCATCCCCATTCCAAACCCCAATTGTCCGTGCCCCAAAACTAAATCCTAGCACTCATCCAACCTCTCCTCATGAGATTTAGTTAGAATTTGGGCAGCATAACCTTTGTTTTCTCAACGTTTCCCCATTTAAACAAAAGGTACCTAATTGATTCTCAGCCCAACCAGTTCAATAACTCAATACATAACAAGCATGCATATATTGAATTTCAAGTAGGCATCATTTACAGTACATGTTCATTACAAATCATGGAACTTAGCTTACAAAACACTATGATCATTCCCTTGGCTCCTATCAACAAAAGAGACGACCAAAGGCATGAGCATAGGCTAA